CCCCCAAAACCCCAAAACCCCAAAACCCCATTTTAAAGGATGAGGATTGATTATTATTAAAACATTCTTAAGGGACCCTTTTAATTCCTGCATCAAGTCTGATTATGTATTATTCCAACATATTATATGTCATCGAAGAGCCTTTACAGATTATGGTTCCAGATACTTCATTGGATGATTTATTGGGTAAATATTGTATTTGAGATCTCTCAGGTTCTTCCACCAAAGAAGTTTCACCTAAGAAAGAGTTCATAGCAGCACAGAATGAATTGAAGCGAAAGAACAAAAAGTTGTGTATTGAGGAGATTGACTTCAGTGATAAAATCTTACTACTTTCTAGTATCGTTGATGGTATCTTAAACACTCAAAATCAACAGGTGAGCAGATTTCTTATAAAATCGAAAAGAAAGCCAATTACACCAAAAGGGAAGAATTCGAGCTCAAGAAGATCCAAATTTATAGGTGTATCCAAGAATGGTTCTTCTCATCAGGTATTAATATCAGTTGAAGGAAAGAAGACCTACCTTGGATCATTCGAGAATGAATATGAGGCAGCGGTGACTTTTGATTTCTACTCCATTTTACTACATTCTGTTGAGGCGAAGACTAATTTTTCATACACCGCTCAGGATGTTCAGGAAATGATTCATAGCTATAAAGTTTACAAAAATCTCTCAAATTTTTACCCCAAAATTGTTGAGCAACTTAATGGACAGTAAAGAAAGACAGATGGATTATTTTCTAATTACTAATGCATTTCCAGTTAAAAATGTTCAAAGCGGTGAGAAATAGTACGAAGAGGGTTAAAATCTGCAAATCTCTTCACAATCTCTTCCATTCGGATCAAAATTTTCAAATTTCTGCATTGGTTACTTCCTTGTTTTATAATATTAAAAAATTGATTTGCAGTTATTGTAACTCCTGAACTTAAAGCAACAGCCTAGAAATGTTTCAATAGAACCCTTGTAAACCGGGGTTTTGGGGTTTTGGGGTTTTGGGGTTTTGGGGTTTTGGGGTTTTGGGG